ACTACTACTACTACTGCTTGCTACTAGTACTACTAGTACTACTAGTACTACTACTACTACTACTACTACTACTACTACCGCTACTACTGCTACTACTACTACTACTACTACTACTACTACTACTGCTTGCTACTAGTACTACTAGTACTACTAGTACTACTAGTACTACTACTACCGCTACTACTGCTACTACTACTACTACTACTACTACTACTACTACTCCTACTACCACCACCAACACTATCAGCACCACCACTATTACGACGATGACGACGTCGACGACAACAACAACAACGACGACGACGACGACGACGACCACAACAACAACAACAACAACAACAACAACAACAACAACAACAACAGCAACAACGACGACGCAGTCCGAGAAAAGCTTGGTTGCTTCAAGTGGCTCCCTGTCCCCGAACGACGACACTACGGCAAAGAAACGAAACAAATGCACCAACCCACCTTTGGCCGTAGCCAACGAAAAAAAAAACCTGTCCTTTCTCAAACCCTACTTCGCTGGCCTCCTTGGCCACCGCCGCGTCGGGCCCCGTATTGGGGCCCGGTACCTCTCGTACTTAAACGTGTGAGTTCTTGTGTGACAGAGAAAAACAACAAAGGTACGGAGACAGAATTTCAGGTCAAGGCTGTGCAAAAACACTGGGTCTCGGATTGAAGGGCCCTGCAGACACAGCTGAGTCGAATCTTCAAGGCTCGCACCCTCATGGAAATATCAACATGTCTGTTAAGGCTTTGGGCTTTTGGGCTTCTAAGGTTCACTTCGAGTTGAGGGATTGGTTTAGTCTAGAGTTGAGGGTGCTCCTTGTCTTTCAGACTGTTTCAGTACCCCGTGATGCACGTGGACGGGTCTGCTCACTTCAGTACCGAAGTCCCGAAGAAGTCTGGAATTGTCTCGGAAACGGAAGTCTGGAAGACCCTACGACTCAAGAACGCGAACAAAATGAAAAGCATGTTCAAGAGGAAGTGTGTCCGCCTGATCGACGGCTCTGTCGCTCAGGGGTGCCTAGCAACCAGATATGTAACAATGCAGCTAGATGGTACTCTTCAAACAAGATCTGGATCTGCAAGTCATGCCCGCTCATCTCATCCTGGTTACCATACTTATGACGTTGATCCACGGCTGTAGTAACCCCCCATAATCACAAGCCTGTAACACCGCGATCCAGCACACGCTACACATGCACTTCGCACACGTGTGAAAGCAGCAAACTGCAAAACGCCTCTACTGCACCACGAGGACATTTGCAAGCTTGTCGGGCAGTAAAGCAGCATGTGCCACAGGTAACGAGATTCAGATGAAAAGCAACGAAACATCCTCTTACGCACATTTCATGCAGAGCGCTGAGCACTCGGATTGGTCGTGAAACGTCCTGTCCCGAAGCCCTGCGCGCCTGTTGAGCGAACAGTTTGGCCCACTTTATCCAAATCCTTCTCAGGCAGGGAAAGCTGAGCTCATTGAAACCGTCGTGTGTTTAGACATTGACCAGGTAGTTCCAAGTAGAGCATGAGGACATGGCCTTCGCCCGCAAGTACGCCACAAGAGCCTTCCCTACATGCATGCCACCAGCCCACAATTCCAGCTTGCAGTCTGCTGAAGCCCTAGCAACCCGAAATTGGTTTACCGCTAAAACCCACAAGTAAAAGTCACACACCCACGGGCTAAAGAAACACATAAACTGCCTCAAACCCACACGACTCCCCCCGCCCTCCCATTGGGCGACCGAGCTCTTTGGCTGTTGCCAAACGCCAAAGAGGCCTGTCTGCGAGTGGCTGCATGTTGCGCCCTGGTTAGCGATGAATAGTTGTGCCGTGGACCTCCAAGTAGCAGCACAGTGACAAACAGAACTTGCCTGTTCAGGTGTTCAGGTGTTCAGCACCTGGATAATTTTCGACTCCGACTTCACTGTGAACCGGATGCGGCCAACAAACTCCCGATTAGTTTCTCTTATAGTCATAGGATGTCATAAGGACATGAAGGAGTCTAAAACCATGCGCGTCGGAAGTGACCTTTTCTAATTTTCGCGAAATTATCTGCCCATCTGCGCCTGCAACCCTGCACTCCGTGCAAAGGCTGCTAAGACCCGTCCGGTGTCATTTGGGCTTCGCCCAAGCGACTACTCCGCTCTGCGCTTGCGACCCTGCACTCCACGCCAGGACACGCTAAGCTGCAATGCGGTCAACACGACAATTCGTCCTTCGACAGAACTGACTATACACTTGCAAGCAGTTTGCCCACATAGACTTAGTCACTCTAGGAGTGAGAACGCTCTACAGAAGCATGGCAGTCGTTAACACAAGGAGTACCTTGTCGCGCTTCTACACCTTGGTTTCTTCAGCGGCCTTGATCTCTGACGTCACCTCTTTCGGGCCATGGAACATGCC